CCGTGAACCATATTGCGCCAGGCCTTCCTGTTCTTCACTGCCTCCCTGAGTTTGCTCATGATTGCCTAAATATATCCATTTATTTTAAGAAAACTTGTTTGTTTACTTACTTACTTATTTAAAAGATTTGCCTGGCTACCCATCTTAGAGCACAACTCTGGATGGCTCACAACAACAGTACAACTATAAAAACAATAAGACAAAAACTAAAACCTTGGCACCTCAATCATCCGCCCAGGGTGCCCCAACAACCACCCACAGGCTTCTACTACTCTACCCCAGTGTTTTGGTAAAGAGCCAGGTCTTGATGGCCTTCTGGAAAACTAAAAGGGTGGGGGTCTGCCATAACGCCTGTAGGAAGGTGTTCCATAAAGTAGGGGCAGCTGTGGAAAAGGCTTGCTTCATAAGTCTCTCTAGGTGGCAATATTTCAGGGAAGGGACCTGGAGCATGCCCATCCTATCCAATCTAGTGGGACAGGCAGGTACCATAAAGGAAAGGTGGTCCCGCAAATAACCTGATCCTGTGCCATGTAAGGCTTTAAAGGTAATAACTGGCACCTTGAATTGCACCCAGAAGGAACCTGGGAGCCAGTGCAGCTCGCACAACAGGGGTAAACATGGGGAAGCCTAGAGGCGCTCAACAGTTAACTCTACTTGTTAAAGTTTCTAACCTGTTTGTGAGAGAAGCTTCATGTATTGCACATTAATACAAGTTGGAGGTTTCTAGTGAAAATAGATCACTACTCACATTATCCCTAGTCTGGAAATATGGTTAACTAAGCTGCTAGAAGATGGTCAGAACCACTTAGGCCATGTTGGTGTTAATTGCACACTTTTTTTCTTCAGGGGTTTGTATTCCTTGAACTTAGCAGTTGCCAGTCCATAATGTCTCTGCCTTGTCAAGGGTCTGCTTAAATAATCAATTCAGTCTGACGATTTGAATTGAATCAACAAGCTAATTGGATCTGACTGATCTCCCCACACTTAATAAATAGTAGAACCAATCTACTTTTTCTTTCATTTTTCCGCATTAAGGTCTCACTGTCTAATGTTTCATTATAGTGGTTATGCTAGTAATATCCTGATCTGTTTCTTTTTTCCCACCTAATGCCAAAATGTTGTGGAATGTCTGATTTGGATAAAGTTGGATATGGGTTAACAAAGTCTCAATTCAGGTAAGATAAGAGACTGTTGGTTACTAGAGAAGCCATCACAGGGCTGGAAGTGGAATTTGTTCTGGGCAAAGGTGTACAACTTGCACACATTGTAATAGTCCAATTTCAGAGAGCTATGGGTGCTTTTACCTAGTTTTAGTTACTGTACCAGCTTCATGAGTCATGCCTTAAATAGCTATATCATGTGAGGTTGTCCTTGAAAAGTGCTTAGGACTTTCAGATAGCATAAAATGCAGTTATTAAATTGGTGTCCTTTATAGACTACATTATAGTTTTCTTGAATTGACTATACTGATTTTCAGATGTGTTTTAAATAAAAGGGATTAATGATTATTGGCATCTGATAAGACATTTTGCCAAGGCAAACTGATACATGAACTTAATTAAAAGTTTCAGGATCTAAACTATAGTGCTGTCCATAAGCATTCCTCTAAGGATCAATTGGATACTTTTCTTGATAGCTCCAAATATCTGCGTTCTATCTCCTAGTCCCACACAATCCTCTAGCTCTCCATGTATATATTCTATATATGGGCAAAGATTTACAAATGGCACTTACTATATGATACTTACTGTCATAAGCCCTTCATATTTCTGTGGACAAGCTTGTGAAATTATTGAAACCCTTCTAAGTGACCCTTGAGATGGGGTCTCTCGATATAGGTCATCTTATAAAGCTTGTGAGGTAGGGTTTGATGCATTTTGATTCTGTCATCAGATAATTTAAAGCAATACTGTCTCGAATGTCTGTTGTTTATTGTTCCTGAAGGACACTGAAAAGCCTTCTAATCAGATCAATGAATGAATGAATGAATGAATGAATGAATGTTGGGAGTGGGGATTACCTTTAGGATTTATGATCTGACATTTCAAATTAGGTACTTTTCAGCTTTGTGTATACTGAATATACCAATAAATCAAATACTACTTATGATTAAAAATATTTTATTAAGAGTACAATGTACCTGCAGTGTACTTAGATTTTTTGTAAACCAAACAATATTCCTTATGTTTATTATATTTTAATACATTGACTAAGCACCATTAAAACTTACATCTCTTTATAATGTTTAAATGTTTAAGCAGTATAAACTTAGCACTTTATGCAGGGAGCAGCTAAATTATTTTCAAAAACAGTCTTCATTTTCCATTCTATAAAGCAGATCACATTACTCTTCAACTTTATATAAAGAAAACATTTTTTAAATATATGTGCTTTGCATATGCTTTGACAGTCTTCTATACTACACACTAGTCCATGTTCCTCTACATTTAACTCAAATAAAATGGCATTGCATTCTTGACATGATGGTCTGGTGGTAGATTTATATATCATGTCAATCTGAATATACCCATTTTCCCAAAGACAGCTTCAAGAACTGATTGAGTCTGCTGTGAACTTTGAGGAGGAAAAACTCTGCTTGAGTTACTTGCATAGCTTTTGTAAATGGCATAGTGCACATGTACTTTGTATTTAGATATCTATACCAAAGCGCACAGTATTTTGAGAAATATCCTTCTGTTAACAAAAAAATCAATTATTAAGGCTTTTGCATCTTTATTTCGCTGTAGCAATGTATTTTTTTCCCTATAAATTGCTGTGGTTTTGGGTGTGTGTGTGTGTGTGTTTTACCATGAGTTAGCATTAATTCAAATCACTAGTGGGAGACAAAAATATACTGAGTCATATTACTTCTACCTATACCAAAAGTAAATGCTATCAGAACCAACACTTTCTTACATACAACCAATCTTTAATGCCATTTTATAAATGTTTTTTGCTGCCATAGGTCAAATGTGTACTGGGTATGCAGAATTAAAGTTTGTACTATCGAACTGAAACTTCCCTTGCCTTGAGGAGCTCTTGCACAATGTTAAGGAAGATTTATCACGTATTTTGGATAAGAAAATGGTTATTGGTATGGGTTCAGTTACATGATTCTTTTGCTTTTTTCATGATATTTTAATTGAAGATATCTGAAATCAGAGCCAGGTATCAGTTTTCTCTAAAGTTTGAATAAAGTCAGCAACTTTTCAATTGGACTGGATTTTTTATAAAGCAGGAGAAACTTCCATTAGTTAACTGATAGAATAATTTAAGTGTGTTTGAAAAGAAGCTAGAATGTGACCATTGGCAATGTACATTGATACATTTCAGAAGATAATATGTTTTTCTGATCAACCTTTCATTAAAGGTGCCTCAAAATATCACAACAATGATAAAAAATAAACTACACCTTTTACAATAAGTACTTAATATTATAAGAGACTATTAGGGAGCCAGCTTCCCAAGACATCACTTTATGATACGTTCTTTCTGCAACAGAACTGTAAATCTGAACATTTATAGTTAAGCAGCCAATGCTATTGAACCCAGTATTCTCGCTAGATTTCTGTATGTAATATCATGACACATTATCTCTGAGCATGGAGCATCAATTTGTTTCTTGTTCTACCATTTTCCAGGTATTGTAGTTCCACACTCATACCAATGAACGTAGGTAGTGTGTGTTGCAGCTCCTATTTTTCCAAAGTGGACAGGTTCTTGACGAACAGCTCTAAAATAACCTGGTTAAAAGAGAAGTCCAACATTTAGTAAAAGTTGAAAATGGGGAGGATGACTCACCTGTGTATAATTAAGTAGCCACACTTTTTAAAAGTGTGTTCTTGAACATGTAAAGTCTAAGCAAAATTTACTTTACAGATGTGTATCACACATGATCATTATGACATATAATTGTTATGAAGCCAACATTTTAAATGGCTTCCTATTCAGTATAGTTTTTGGAGTCATACACAATTGTAGCAACATTATTTTCCAGATAAGTAGTATCTAGAAAAGCCCTAAGGGTGTATGTCACTTTTTATTTTACTTTTGTCAGAATGAACAATGTCATCTTATGGGATCTAGGAGGAATGCCTTCTCTGTGGTGGTCTCTGCCCTTTGCAAACAGTCTTCCCCCAGACGTACAGTTGGTGCCAATCCTACAGGCCTTTAGGGCAGCAGTTAAGACTGGGTTCTTCCCCTGGGTTTTGGGGTCAGGTTGAGTCCCCAATGGATGAATGAGAGGTTTTCAGTTCTGTTTGTCATTTTGTTTTTTTAGTATGTTTTAATGAGTTAGGTTATTTTGTATTAATTAATTATGGTTTTCTTTTTGTATACTGCCCAGAGTCACAGGGTTTGAATTGGGTGGCCATTATGAATGCATAAACAAACATGGTTATGAATGTACTAATATATATATACTTGGTTGTCAGGTATGTACTGTATCAAAGTTGACTCTTGTTCTGCTTCCATCACAAAGTAGACAATTCTGTAGACAGCTTATTACATTTAAAGATGGGAAGATATTGATACTTGATATCCCTTTTATTGTTCTTGGTTTAGAACATACCATCTTTGGTAGGCAGTTGATCTGGCTGAAGCATTTGCCCTGTCCTTCCATCTAAATATGAATCCACAAATTGACAATGATCTTCTCCATGTCCTCTCTGATCTCCTATATTATAAAATGTACCTGGAAAATATTAGAAACACTTTCAAAATACGATTAAAATTCAAATCCAGTAATAAACCGGCAGACCTTGGGTTACAATGGTAATTGGGACTGGAATTTCCATTGTTTGGCAATGAGGTTGTAAAGCGTGATGTCACACGACTGCATCACTTAGTGACCGAAATCCCGGCAGTCCCCATTGCCATCGTTAACCAAATCCCACCGGTTGTTAGGCAAGGATCCACCCCGATCCAAGCCATTCCCAGCTTGGTCCCTCCCAGCCCTGACCCTTGGTAAGGTAAGGGACTGCCTCCTCTTGAACTCCCCCCATTTACCTATCTCCCCCCCCCCCCCCCCCCCCC